CCCCCCCCCCCCCCGGATGGGATGGCTATGCCGCAATCCCTTCTCCTCCATTCTCCTCATGGGATCTTGGGCATGCACATACACGTGCCCGGTCTGAGTTTAAGCCACCGGGTCTGGAACTCGAACCGCAGTCGACTACATGGGAGTCCAGCAACATAGCCATTATACTAACTGCTGGTCCCCATAGTTTAATTCTAAAGTCATGACATTTAGTCAATATAGACAGCTGAAGCAATAAATAGAAATATAGAATTTTATTCCGAAATTTCATTTGTACATTCTTACTTCATTGAATGCCTGCTTACCATCCTGCCTATACAAGATGTTTGATTTTAGAGATTTCATATAAAATTATTCACGAAGTTGTCAATATATTTTAGACTTACCATTTCTAAAATGGATGGCCGACCCTCCAACTGAATGTGAACACTGGATTCTTTTCCACTTTCCATTCTCCCAAGATTGCATAAGAAATTTAAACAATATGGGTCAGCTTTCATGCAGTACTTGAAAAGAATATAAAAGAGCTACATTAAAATTTTTACCACTTAAATATATATGTATATATCTACACAGAATGAAAAATCATCTCTCTTTAGTGGCATTTAGGAAATTATCTTTCTATCAACATAGAATCAAACGTCTGCTTTCCTTACTGGTACTTAAAAAATTGTCTTGTAAGATCAGCAGATGGCATAATGGTTACGACACAGGATTCCCATGTAGTCGACCATGGTTCTAGTCCTGGACCTGGCAGCTTAAAACTCACACTGGGTGTATGCGCATGTGCATGTGTGTGCATGCCCAACATCCCGAGAGGAGAATGGAGGAGAAGGGATTGTGGTCTGGCCATCCCCCCTAGGGAGTGATTTCTCGCTTTCTGTCTCTATGTCTCTCTGGTGAGCACACACACCCTATAGCAAAAATCTCTCAAACAATTGTCTTGCTTCACATTTGGTAAAATTCAATATCTCTTTATGATAAAAACTTTCACATTAGGTGCATGAGGCATGTACCTCAACATAAAAAAGCCCTGTGAGGGAACTCCAAAAAGTGTGTGGAAAACCAGAGCAAAATATGAGTTTATTTTGGTGCAAATCAACTCATGCAAAAAAGTACTGGTACAAAAAAATCACTGAAATCCATACAGAGTTTTCCATAATACATAGTTTGCATGAAAATTCTAAAGAACTCTTGCAGATGCCAAACCTGTAGCTAACATCATACTGAACAAGGAAAATTGAAAACTTTTTCTCTACGAGCTGGAACGTGAATGTCTAGTTTTACCACTCTTATTCAACATAGAATTGGAAATCTTTGCCAGAACGATTAGGCAAGAGAAAGAAAAAAAGGACATCCATATGTAGAAGAATGAAACTAGACGCTATTTCTCACTATATACAAAAGGCAACACAAAATAAAGACCTAAATATAAAATCCAAAACCATGAAATTACTAAAAGACAATGTATAGAAGACAGTTTAGGACATGGGTCTGGGGAAAGAAAAAAAGGTTTTTTTGTTTGTTTAATTAAATAAAACCTCAAAAGCACAAGCAACAAGAACAAAAAAAGACATGGGACTTTATCAAACAAAATAGCTTCAGGTCTCCTGTTTCTTACCACAGGCTGTGCTTCTATCCTGTATAGAAAGAGGAGGCAGAGTAAACCTACCATATACACCTCAGCCACTGTGCCGGGCGTGTGTGTGTGCGTGCCCAAGATCCCGAGAGGAGAATGGAAGAGAAAGAATTGCGGCATGGTCATTCCCCCTGGGGGTGATTTCTTGCTTTCTATCTCTCTGTCTCTGTTTGTCTGGAGAGTGCACGCGCCCTATAGCAAAAACTTCTCCAAAAAAAAAAATACAAAATGATATAGCCACTCTAGAAAACATTCGGCAGTTGCTTAAAATACTAAACATGCAACTACCATAAGACCCAATAATGGCACATCTGGACATTATTTCTCCCAGAGAAGACTTATGTCCACAGAAAATCCAGCCCACACCTGTTTATAGGAACTTTATTTGTTGTAGTCAAAACTAGAAGCAGACATTCTTCGGTGATGAATGGTAAATAAACTGGTACAGCCATACAATGCAATAACATTCAGAAATAAAAGGGAATAAGCTATAGATACCTGCAACAACTTGGATGGATCTCTGGAAAGTCATGCTGAGTGAAAAAAGCCAATCTCATAAGTTTACATGTTGTGTGGCTACATTTGTATAAGAGTCTTGAAATAAAATTGTATTGAGTCATTTGAAAAGTCATGAAGTATTTTTCTGTTTTCAATGCAAAAATGTGTCATGACTTTTCCCATGACCCAATAGAATGTAGAACTGATTAGTAGTTGCCAGGGTTAATGAGAGAGTTGTGGTGGAATAGAAGTGAGTGTGCCATTTGGCATATTTTATTTAAAATGGCAGCATAAGGGATCAATGTGGAGATATATTCTGTATCCTGACTGTATCAATGTTAATATCCTGATTGTGACAATACACTGTCATTAAATAAGATGTTAACTTTAAGAAAACTGGATAAAGGATATAGGGGACCTCCATCTTATTTTCTACAATTGCATGTGAATCTATAATTATTTCAAAATAAAAAGTTTATTCAAAAAATGATCTTTCTTTAAACAAAACACAAATGTTAGGTTTGCAAGTCATAAAAGCAACAAAATATTGAAAGTGGAGTATGTGTTTTCAGTATTTTTATTTATTTATTTATTTATTTATTGGAGAGGTTTTTGCTATAGGGTGTGTGTGCTTGCCAGAAAGACAGAGAGACAGAAAGCAAGAAATCACCCCCCAGGGAGGTTGGCCATGCTGCAATCCCTTCTCCTCCATTCTCCTCTCGGGATCTTGGGCATGCACGCAGACGTGGCGGCACGAGTTTTAAGCCACTGGGTCTGGGACTCGAACTGCGGTCGACTACATGGAAGTCCAGTGACATAGCCATTACACTAATTGCTGGTCCCCAGTATTTTTATTAACCTAATCTTTAGGACAGAATTAAAAGAAAGACTTCCAGTCAGAGTCTTGCTAAGTTACATGCTCTATGCTTGTTGTAAAATTGGTATCATTTGAAGGCGGTAATTACTTCCCCAGTTTATTCTCATCAATGTATTAAGATGAAAATAACAAAAGTTACCCAGGTGAAGCCAAAATGTTAGTGTTCTGTAGGATCTGGAACAATGTCTGGCTGGCAAAGAATGGACATTTATTACATCGGTAATGAAACTTTATAATAAGTTAATGCTGAGTGGCAAAAGCCAATCTCAAGTTTAACCTGGGTCTGTCCTAGCCCTCCAATTATAACTTGTTGCATGCATTCAAGAACGTTCCTTACACTTAGGTTCTCTCTTACCACTCAACTGACAGCTCAAACCCACTGACCTTTGGTTTTCAGTGTTTTACGTCTCTGTTGGAAAGCAAAAATTATAAACTGAGAAATCGAAACATACCAGTAGCCGCTTGTCAGTCTTTGACAAGAAGTTGACTATGCCTTTCAAGGTCTCCATTGCACCCTTGTGCTGGTCGACTGCACACTCTCTTTGATAATTTTTAAAGTGGCATTCTCCAGTATTAGTCTATAAAGATAGGAAGCAAGAAAAATCATTATCTTTCAACACTGAAAAGAAAAACAAATAGAATGTAGAACTGATTAGTAGTTGCCAGGGTTAATGAGAGAGTTGTGGTGGAATAGAAGTGAGTGTGCCATTTGGCATATTTTATTTAAAATGGCAGCATAAGGGATCAATGTGGAGATATATTCTGTATCCTGACTGTATCAATGTTAATATCCTGATTGTGACAATACACTGTCATTAAATAAGATGTTAACTTTAAGAAAACTGGATAAAGGATATAGGGGACCTCCATCTTATTTTCTACAATTGCATGTGAATCTATAATTATTTCAAAATAAAAAGTTTATTCAAAAAATGATCTTTCTTTAAACAAAACACAAATGTTAGGTTTGCAAGTCATAAAAGCAACAAAATATTGAAAGTGGAGTATGTGTTTTCAGTATTTTTATTTATTTATTTATTTATTTATTGGAGAGGTTTTTGCTATAGGGTGTGTGTGCTTGCCAGAAAGACAGAGAGACAGAAAGCAAGAAATCACCCCCCAGGGAGGTTGGCCATGCTGCAATCCCTTCTCCTCCATTCTCCTCTCGGGATCTTGGGCATGCACGCAGACGTGGCGGCACGAGTTTTAAGCCACTGGGTCTGGGACTCGAACTGCGGTCGACTACATGGAAGTCCAGTGACATAGCCATTACACTAATTGCTGGTCCCCAGTATTTTTATTAACCTAATCTTTAGGACAGAATTAAAAGAAAGACTTCCAGTCAGAGTCTTGCTAAGTTACATGCTCTATGCTTGTTGTAAAATTGGTATCATTTGAAGGCGGTAATTACTTCCCCAGTTTATTCTCATCAATGTATTAAGATGAAAATAACAAAAGTTACCCAGGTGAAGCCAAAATGTTAGTGTTCTGTAGGATCTGGAACAATGTCTGGCTGGCAAAGAATGGACATTTATTACATCGGTAATGAAACTTTATAATAAGTTAATGCTGAGTGGCAAAAGCCAATCTCAAGTTTAACCTGGGTCTGTCCTAGCCCTCCAATTATAACTTGTTGCATGCATTCAAGAACGTTCCTTACACTTAGGTTCTCTCTTACCACTCAACTGACAGCTCAAACCCACTGACCTTTGGTTTTCAGTGTTTTACGTCTCTGTTGGAAAGCAAAAATTATAAACTGAGAAATCGAAACATACCAGTAGCCGCTTGTCAGTCTTTGACAAGAAGTTGACTATGCCTTTCAAGGTCTCCATTGCACCCTTGTGCTGGTCGACTGCACACTCTCTTTGATAATTTTTAAAGTGGCATTCTCCAGTATTAGTCTATAAAGATAGGAAGCAAGAAAAATCATTATCTTTCAACACTGAAAAGAAAAACAAAAGTAGCATAGTTTTCAAGTTTCAATTGCTTATCTTTTCTCAAATATATCAAATACCTCTGAAATTGTGAACATCTCTGTAGCAAAAACACAAACAAAAACTCAGCAGAAGTATGAAAAGTTGGACATAGTTCCTATGCTGAGAAAAAGGCTTTCACTTTATAGAAATGTGAAAAATGACAGAACATTAGCATGAAATTAAACATTTCTCTGACTTTTTACACAAGATGAAACAATATGTATAATAACACGTCTATCTAAATCTGAAATTGAAGTGGGATTTTAAAAAAATCGTATCTTAAATGTACATAGGTTTATTTGTTGATTACTGATCTAAACTGGGAGGATAAAAACAATTCTGATGCAATTATTAACATAGAATATTATGACTTAAATAAAGCTTCTGAAAGGGAAAAAAAGGCTTACAATACTGATCTTTCTTTTTTAAAAAATTATTTTATTTAACTTTATTCATTTATTCATTTTAATTTGACCAGAGAGGGCCAGAGCGAGAGAGAGAGAGAGAGCTGCCAGGTCCAGGACTCGAACTGTAGTTGGCCATTTGGGATTCCAGCACTCTTAACCACCACACAACCTGCTGGCTCCACAATCCTGATCTTTCAATGATGGCTTAACGTTTTATGGAGAATTCCACTAACTACATTACTTCCACAAGTCTAAGTCATAAACAAACACATCCTAAAATAATTATTCAATGAAGATGTTAGACCATAGTTCTGCTATTATACAGGTCAACTGCAGAGATTCTACTGAAATTCTACAGTTATAATATATAACATTTAATACCTACTTAATAACTGCATAGTAAATCGATAGCTTTCAACATGGCTAAAATAACTCAACAGTACCCTTCATTTTACTAATATTATTTAGAATAAAATATTCATTCATATTTATTTAAAACATACTTACTAAGGAATATGTAGAAGGAATACATTTTTACCTGGACATCCAAAATGTTGAACAGCTTATCAGTTCGGGGAATAAAAGAATTTGGTATCATTATTTCCACACTAACATTTGGAGCCATGCTACTGCCAGTGTTGATAACCTGATAAAAAAAAATAAAATAAATTTAAAATATCTTTCATGAATATAAGTATAGAGATCAATGTACTTTCAGGTGACCCCATATATGCCATGCAACATGTATAATGGTGGAGGTTTGTAGCTCATGGCCACAAAAATGGATAGAATATCCATTTAAGAATTTTACAGATTTGTAAGCAATTTCAAACTCTAGTCATTAGTACTTGCCTTCTCTCTCTCTTTTTGCCCAAAAAGTCTAGGCTGATGGCTTATTGCAGAAATAGTCTTAAGAAAGAGAAATCCATATATATTATATACCACTTTAAATATTTTAAGAATATAATCAGCTGGTCCTCATAACTATCTCATGAGGCGGGTCAATATTTTACTACCTTCCAGCTAAGGAAAATGATATGAGGTGTTGAATTTTCCAAGATGAAAGTTAAAAAGCGATAAGAGTTAGGACCAAATCCCAGGTATTCTAATTCTAAATCCTATGTTGTTTTCTCAAAATCACTCCTTGCTGAGAAGATGATTTTTTAAAATTATTTAACTTTATTTATCCATTTATTTATTTATCTTAATTTGACCAGAGACAGGTAGAGTTGGAGAGAGAGAGAAAGTGAGAAAGCAAGCCACTAGCCATGTCTGGGACTCAAATCATGGTCGGCTATGTGGAAGTCCAGCACCCTTAACCACCATGCCACGTGTGGGCCCCAGAGGATGATTAGTAACAGAAAGTGAATATTCAAGGTAATTAAAATACTAATACACTCAGAAAAAATCAGAAAAGGGTAGGTTTTAGAGAAAATAACAAATTTTTAATACTCTTCAAAAAACGCATAAGAGTGTGAACATTTCATTACTGTTAATACATCTAGGAATTGTAGATCCATGAAAGGAGAGAGAGCCAAAATATTTCCTCCTGAGTGCAACTGTAGAAATTCAGAAAAGAGCTATACTATAATACTTGAATAAAAAAGGATGGTTTACAACAATCTGGTGGAATGCTTGAGATGCAGATGAAAAAAGATGGTCTTTGGATTTAAGACAAGTGGTGGGAACCAGCAGTTAGTAATGGCTATGTCACTGGATTCCCACGTAGTGTAACGCGGTTCATGTCCCGGACCCGGTGGCTTAAAACTCACACCAGGCGCGTGTGCGTGCGTGCCCAAGATCCCGAGAGGAGAAGGGATTGTGGCATGACCATCTCCGGCAGGGGGGGTGATTTCTCGCTGTCTCTCTGTCTCTCTCTGTCTGTCTGGTGAGTGCACGTGTCCTATAGCGAAAATCTCTCCAAAAAAAAAAAAGACAGGTGGTAACTGCTAGGCCATGGGAGCACAGGGTGGTTGCAGAGGGAAATGTCAACAATGAGTTCCGATCAGTGTCTGGTACTATAAACCAAGTCTTCCTGATGCCAGTAAATCAATCTAAGCTACACTTACGCTTCCCTCTTGATCACCTAGTAAAATGTGGATTTCCAAGAACATCTACGTACTTGGACGGACTCACCAAGGCCACATATTGCAATATTTCCAGTCCCAGTCATTCCATTGTAAGTTAATTAGAAAATATTTTTTTATTTTATTTTTTTATAATTTTTATATTAATTAATTTAATTTTTTTCATTTCATTTTCTTCCATACATTCAATCACATTATTATTCATCTTACAAAGTGGATAAATTAATAAATGGGCCTCCCAAAGTCTGGTTTGGTTTCTGGTTTAGTTTATCAAAACAGAACTCTCTATTTGGTTTTTATAAAAGTGCTTCCTGGGATTTCAAAAAGAGGTCTTAATTTTTAACACTAATGTGTTCTAGGGGAACAAAAACTTGAGTATACATAGAATCAATAGGATTTCAAAGTTACTCTTCTTCCATAGATCCAGAGCTGGTTCCAGTAATTTGTGTTTTGGATAAGCATTTTAAGTGATTCTAATACACATTTTGAAAGGATTACTTACAAAATATATTATACCTAATCTGAGACTAATTCACAGTCTATAGATTGCTATACAGCTCTACAAATGTATAGTGTTTTTGGTTCAAAAAAACATTTTTGTAGAAATTATCTCTGATTACTTACTCATCACCATCTTTAATATCATAAATATCTCTTATTAAATTTAGCTTTATGTAAGTCTCCCAGTATTTCTAGATGACAGTATTCTTTACTTTTTAAGAAGGCTTGACAAAATTTAATGATTAATAAAGCACTTATCACAGGCCATAAACTTATGACTAGGTCAACCTTAAATGGAGATAGGGGAGAAAGGAGCTTCCTTTACTTGCTAGTGTGAGGGCTTTTATAAAGCTTGAAGCAAGAGATTTCACTGATTTGCACTCAGAGATGTCTTCCCTTGGCCTATCATGGTCCCCATACTTAACCCTAGGAAATTTAGCTCGTCCTAGAACTTCGCCTGCTTCAGGCATGATCTCTGTTCCTGCATGCCCATTCCCACTTGTTCTGTAAGGAAGTATGGGCTTGAGGATCAGGAAGAAGACAAGTGGAAGCAAAGCCACAGTGGCCTGAGAGGAAAGGCCGTGTGGGCTGAGGCTGGGCGTCATCATAGGTGTAGCAGGTATACAATGTCCCCTGGAGCAATGCAACAGTGACATCTTCTCAGGTTGTAACACGTACGAAACATTTCTTACATGGAAAGTGAAGTTCATTTTCTCTTCCATGCACGTTTCAGGCTCATTTTCATCATTTGATCCATACACAAATGAAGTTGGGTTCACAAACCTGATAGAAACAAATTCAAATTTAATCAACTGTCTTCCTGATGAGGTGTTATAAACAGTCTTTCTCCATAGAACAGATGATAACGTATTTAAGAGGCACCATGGAATACTTTGGGTTTAGGGGTCAGAGGACAATTTTATTCAAAAATGGACAAAATGAGAAGGCCAGGTAATCTGACCTGAGTGACAGTTCTGTTCTCATCCGTACCCTTTTCTTGCCTTCTCTAACACTGGGCTTCCTTTATGCTGCTATTTCTTCCCTTTCAGCCTTTAAGAGAATGATGCAACTTTGGCAAGTCAGGAGTAAACCCTTAGCGTTTCCCAAGGGCTTCTAGATAATGCAAACCTCATTCTATATTACTTATTTTTGAGTTATTTCTTCTAATCTCCCAACTCCTGCTGGGTAGTTGTAATGAACCCCAAATCTGTGGGACAATTCAAACACTAATAAGAATGATACATTTTTGTTAGAAAATATCACTTTTTTTTTAAAATGTATGATTTGACTCCCCCCCCCTTGCAATGAAATACATGTAATATTTTTCTGAGGAAATCCCTACTCTACAAGTTGTTCATATTTAGTAGCTAATATTAGGTCATATGAAATTAGAGGCACATTAAACAGGAAAGAAATTAGAAATATTCAAACAGCGCAGACTTAAGCAGTCTAACAGTTGCAGAACATTGTCTGAAATAATGATGTCTGAAGAATAATGGAAAAACACATCCTAAGAAAATCAAGAGAGTCAAGATCCACATTCAAAACCAGGAAAGATGGAATTACTTGCTTAACGCTGACTCCCTAGCCCTGCTCTCCTCTGTGCATGGCCTCCATTTCCTGTTTGTTTTATTCCACAGTCGATGCTTAATTCCATCAGTTTCAGATACTAACATTTTATATTTATATAACTACAGGCCAACGTTATGGGTGCTTATACTGATTGGGGGGGGGGTTACTTTATAGTTAGAGCAACAAGAAAAGCTCCTATTTGTTCTGTATCCTGCATCATCTATTGTTTTAAAAATGTAGTTTTAAACAAAGACTAACAGCCTGAAGAATTTCCAGTGAAATCATTGAAGATTTTCTTAAACTCCTCCCCCTTTATTTCTTTTTTTCTACATGTCTCCTTCTTAAGTCAGAGGAGGATCCATTTGAATAATTACGAAAATTGTGAGGGAGTAATGAATGCGGGCTGAAATCTCATAGGTATAAAGAATAGACAAGGGGCTCCTTGCAGCCAGCGCTGTCATGTCTCAAACTGCTACATAGGAAGATGTGGGTTTGGACACTGCTTAGTGAGCCAGCTCAGACTTCTTTGAATTTCACACTTGCCGTGACCACTGGGTACAATGACGCAAACTGCATGCTGACTGACTCCAGGTGCCCCTGGATTGCACAGTTTTCAACTGAAAGGCTGTGGTCTGCTGGAAACTCACTGGGGTCCTCCAGCTAGACACTACTTTGATGTAGCAACAGTGATGATTATAGCCTGGGTTAAAATACTGAACAGCTAAGAAGGAACTCCAACATGAGATAATTTAAGAGAGAAATAGTATTCCTTTTTTTCTTTTCTTTCAATTTTTATTGTTGTTTTTTACTATAGTGCACATGATCTCACTGGAGAGAGACAGAGAGAAGGAAAGTGAGAAATCCATGGTTAAGCCATGATCCTTTCTCCTCTATTCCCCTCTTAGGATTTTCTGGGTGTACGCACACACACAAACACATGCCTGGCATCATTTTCAAGCTGCCAGATATGGGACTCAAACTGCGGTCAGATGTGTGTGAGTCCAGTTCTTTAACCTCTGCATCACCTGCTGGCCCCCAAACAATATTCTTTTTATTTTAAAATGCTTAGATACGGTTTTGTCCTCCATGTAAGAAGCAGTGGAATGAAGAATCAACTCTAAACTTTACAGTTGGCCTCTGTATCAACTTACCCATGAACAGCTAGCATGACCTCATACTTAAGAGGTATTGCTAAAGTCACTTTATTATGTTTTAGCTTGTCCACTTCCCCTTCATTTTCACTGCAGAAACAAACAGAAAACGCCTGTTAGAATTCACCATTCTTACAAATCATCTTCAGAGAGAATGTTTTACATATCCTGTATACTTATATACTTAGAAGTTTGTTTAAATAATGCTTTCTGAGGAGTAGGGATTACAACAGATATGGCAATGGCACATTTCTCGGACAGGGTTGGTAGGAATTTGCTCTCATAATTTCAACTATTATCAGTTGCTTCTAAAAAAAATGGAAGGCTTTTTTGGTTCATTTTTGGTTTGGGGTTTTTAAAATTTAAACATATCATGTCAGAATTCCTTTCTGCTTATAGACAGTAAGTGGAACTCAGCTCGTAAAGTCTTCCCTCAAAACAGAATGGCACGTTTCCTTTAGGTCAACTACTGTGTTCACCGTGGGGTTATACCAGGCAGCGTGCACTGTGATGTTGAGCTCGTCTTCTGCTCTGCTGAGTGAGCTGACATCCAGGAGAAAGCTAATATCTATCTGTAAAAAAACAGGGAAAGCTCATTTTTTTAAACCATCTTAAATACATTTTCTTATCATCTGAATTTCATTTTTAATTAATAGTTTATGTTCTACGGATTATAAAATTAAAATGATTCTAGATGTATAAGCCGTGCCTCCCTTGGCAGTTAAATACAGCGGTCTACGGCAATCTAAAAGCACAAGCATTTTTATGAGTACCATTTAGACACAAAGCCTATGCTGAATGTAAAGACAGGCCATCCAGACTGACAAAATTAGAAATGCTTTAACAACTTGGGTGAGGACTCTTGCCAAAAACACCTTTTTGTATAGCAGAGGTAACATGCCTGGCAGACAGGACCACCTGGGGCGGGGGTTGGGGGGAATGTGTTGGAAGAGTGAATGGGGGAGAATTCTGACTGACACATCCACATGCCCATCCCGACATACGCGTGTGCCCCTCCCCCTTTAAACAGTGAACATTGCCAAGAATACGAACACAAAGCTCAAAGATTTCAAGCCCAGTTGCCTTTGCTTTTATTTCATCACTTAGCTCCCTACTCTAAGTAAATACACACACTCACACACACATTTGTATGCTGCATGTAGAGGAAAACAAAAAGCATCATGCCAGTAAACGAAATCCATAAATGCTAATACTTACCCTAGAGAGATGATCGACATATATGTAACCAACATCGCAGTCAAGTTTCACTATGCCGGAGTTGTCTGTTACTTCACAGTTTATTTGTTTATCTTCCTAAAAGAAAAAAAGAGAAAAAAAAATTAGAACAACTGGTTTGGATAGGAAGAAAATAAGTTCATTAACAAGTTTAAGGACAGCGGTCCTTTGGGAACAAGATTGGTAGTGCAAACTTAAAATGAGGAGCAGTAACTGTAGGAGCTTGCATGAGGACCAATTTCACTTGGGCGAGGACCTCAACCAAACAAGCATGATCCTCTCCCTGCAAGGATGTGGCAGGTAGAAAGCAATGGCAGCCAAGCAGCTCTCTCTTATTCACAATGAGAAGCAGGAAGCTGACACCTTTGGACTTAGTCCCTAAGCACTTGCCATTTTAAGCAAGGGCAGATGGCAGAGGACCCCCGCCTTCCCAGCACCAGGCACCAGTCTCATAGAATACAATCCCTCCAGGGACAGGGGTGGGTTGGGTTGGTTCTGGGATGACCCAAGCACACCACATCCACTGTGCACCCCATTTCCACCTCTACCACATACCAATAGAAAAGAAAACAATCACAGAACCACAGGGTTTGGCTTCCCATGAGAATAAAATACTACTGCTGAGCTGAAAGGAGATGGAGCCCGGGTGGCAATGGGAGCGATAGGAGCAGCTGCAAACACAGGGGAAGCCTCACTCACTCCTTGCTCCCAGAAAAAGCTGCCCACCCCACCACTGAGTGGCCCAGAGGACCAACACTGGTTGGTGGACTGGCCTCCAACAGGTCACAGATCCACACAGGAACACAGTCAAGGTTCGGAAGCCCTGATAGAGAGGAAATCTCAAAACAACTGGAAGCCTGAGAGCTAAGTCTGAATAGGAGGATTTCTACCACAGTCATGTATACTGTAACTTAATGAAGTGAATTATACCACTTGCTTTTTAAGAAGAAAATTAAGTAAAATACTAAGTAGTATCATGCAATTGTGGTTTACAATACTTACCAGATCTAAAATCTTAATGAAGTAAAGACCCGCGGGTAGCAGGACATGCAGAGTCGTTTCATAAGCATCATCTCCAGCGTTAAACAAGGACACATTCAACGTGATTGTTTTTGCACTCCCAACAGCAAGATAGGTTTTATTTTCATGCGGCCTAAAAGGTAAGTAATTTTATGTAGGTCTCATTTAGGAAATAAAAATCTCATCTCCAGATATATGAAGAGGTTTTCAAAGAGTTCATGGAAAATTCATATTATTAAAAAAACTGTGTGTGGATTTCAAAGTTTTTTTGCACCAAAATAAAGTCATATTTTAATTCAACTTCTTCTGCTAGCTTTTTTGTTAGAGTTTATTTCTTTCATAAGGAAGAGAAACAGAGACAAAGAAAGCACCCCCAGCAGTCTAGACACCATGATCCACCCCTAGGCTCATTCAGCCTGGATCATCGTCACATATGTCTTTGGTATACTCAGACAGGTTTCCAGATGTGAGCTGGAACCTTCCTGTGCGGGTCGGCCTTACAAAGCATTGTGCATTCCTGTTTCACATCTGGCACCTCCACGAGCTTTTGCGGTCCTCTTGTATTTATGTTTATGTCACACATAAAATAGTAATTTAGTAAAATAATTGCTTTGGAAATTTCCCCACATGAATGACCCCCATAGGCCGATGTAAATTCATATTAACAAGAACTCTTGGGCTAGCACGTGGCATGAAGATTAAGGTGCCAGATCCTACATGGTTGTCTGCGCGGCTAGAGTTCTAAACCAGGTGGCCTGAAAATTACAGTGTGTCTGCACATGTGCCCAAAATCCCAAGAGGAGACTAGAGGAGAAGGGAATGTGGCATGGCTACCCTTTCTGGGGGCTGATTTCTCACTTTTCTTCTCTCTCTGGTGAGTGCATACACCTATAGCAAAAAACAAACAAACAGAAAAACACAAATAAACAAAAACAAAAAATATGAAAAACAAAACAGAACTCTTAATTTCTCATGTTTTAGATAACTTCAGTTGGCTATTATCTAAGAAGGGTCTTTTTTTTTTTTCCCTCAATAAAAATGTAAATGAGAAACCAAAAACAAATTAAACTCTAGTCTATAATTTTACTTTTGTATTATTTTTAACTTCTGTAATTTTAATATTTTCTTCATTACTTTGCAATGTCTTCTGATGGCAAGGCATTTCTTTCTTTTCTTTTCAATCTTTGATTAGACACTAAAGGTGCTGCTGACCAAATCAAAGGGTTAAAATGGGGGATCTGGAAGAAAAGGAAACTAAGAGACTAGAGGGAATGTACTGGTAGAGGTAATATAGGCACTGGTAAGAACTACTACATCCAGAAAGCGGCACTAAAATCTACTGGACTAGAATTAACATGAGGCAGGCTTGTTGTACCTATAACTAGGCCAAATTAAAATCAGAGTTGCAGAAATGGGTCTAACCTGGTAGCAGAGTCAGTAGCAAATTGAACTGCAGTGCTGGAAGCCACATGACTGATGGCAGGTTTGACCCCCAGGTTGCCCTAAAAATGCACTAGGATAGCCCCATGTCCTGATGAGCTGAAGGTTTGGAGATAGAGGATCACAGCATGATAAGATCCATAAAGAGTACTTCTATCTTTTTCTCTCTCTTCCTCTCATATGCACATACATGCTATCATGAATAAAATGAAAAAAATGAATAGCAGAAAGGTTTCACCAGCCTATAGATTGCAAAGAGAAGATTGCTGTAAATGTAGGCATATGAGTGAGTTCAAATCCTGGCACTTCTTCTAGTTCTTTGGGATGGGGGGATCATTTAGCATGCCTAAGCCTTGGTGACCCCATCTGTAATAATGATAGTAACAACTATTCAGTAAAAATTTGGGTCATGCAAATTGCATGAAATCTTCAGAACACTTTAAATATGAACTTGAGGCTTAAATAATTTATTCCAGGGCCACAAGTATAATGTTCTGACAAGTCAGAAATCTAGTTATTTAAATTTAGAAAAATTAGTTCAAACTAAAAATGTGACTCGAAGCAAAATAGTAGATAAGGATAATGATAACAACCAAAAAGGTACATATTCATTTAATACTTTAGAATCTTGTAAATTTCCTCAATAGTATTTAAATTGTGTCATTCTGATTAACATTTGGAAGACAGGTATTTAAATAAACTATCATGGAAACATTACACAGAGAGTAGGCATTTAATAGCTATTTGTAATTGATTAAAGACAAAGAATATGTCAGTACAGAGTTTAAGAATACATTTCGGGACCAGCAGTTAGTGTAATGGCTATGTCGCTGAACTCCCATGTAGCCCACCGCAGTTTGAGTCCTGGACCTGGTGGCTTAAACTCACACTGGGCGTGTGTGCATGCGTGCCCAAGATCCTGAGAGGAGAATGGAGGAGAAGGGATTGCGGTGTGGCCATCCCCCCGGTGGGGTGAATTCATGCTTTCTGTCTCTCTGTCTCTCTCTGTCTTTCTGGTGAGCACATGCACCCGATAGCAAAAACCTCTCAAAAAAAAAAAAAAAAGACATTTCCAAATTTCTATTTTTTAAAAAACAAAGCCTAATGCTCTTTATTTTTTTAAATGTTATTTATTTATTCATTTTATTTATTTATTTTTAATTTGACAGAGAGAGACACAGAGAGAAAGAGGGGAAGCAAGAAAGCAAGCCACCAGGTCCAGGACTTGAACCGTGGTCAGCCATGTGGGAGTGTCCAGCACCTTAACCACCATGGCACCTGCTGGTCCCCCAAATTTCTGTTTTAAAACATTACTTGAAGATTCATGAATGATTGACAATAATTGAAAGTTCCTATACAGTGAATCAGGCTCTGTGCTTATCGCTCAAACAAACAATAGGCAAAAATAGTTAAAACGCACTTCACTCTCTCACAGAATTGCTATGGTAATGAACACATAAGTGAATAAATGCAAACAAACATTATAAATACACAAGAAAAGATTATGAACACAAGGCTGCGAGACTAAGGAAGGGAAACAGTTTTGCTCGGAAGAAGTAAAGGTAAGCTGCTCTTTGCTTTTCTACTATTCTGAATATCTAGGTTATCCACGGAAGTTTTTTATTTTGTTTGTTTTTCTAAAGAAAGTCTGAAAATTTCATGATTGAATCTGAGTAAACTTGAATTATACCCCTAAATGATTTTTCTGAAGTCCTTTACCTCTCCTCCAACCCAATCTTCACAATGATTCTTTTTTTTTTTTTTTTTTGAGAGGTTTTTGCTATAGAGCACATGCATTCACCAGAAAGACAGAGAGAGACAGAAAGACAGAAAGCAAGAAATCACCCCCCAGGGGGGATGGTCACGCCATAATCCCTTCTCCTCCATTCTCCTCTCGGGATCTTCAGCATTCACGCACATGCGCCCAGCGTGAGTTTAAGCAACCGATCCGGGACTTGAACTACAGTTGACTACATGGGAGTCCAGCAACATAGTCAATACACCAACTGCTGGTCCGACAAAGAGTCATTTTCAAAAAAAGCGAACTAGATCCTCTCACATGCCTGTTCAGTGCCGTCTGGTAACTTCATGGAAAGAGTCCCAACTCCTCAGCACTCGTTCTTTTGCTTTAGCCACATTTACCTACAAATAGGTGTCCAAACACACCAAGGTGTTTTGTGTTTTCAAGCTCTCTCTCTGCCTTAAACATATTCTTCTCTTCAAGCTTCTGGCTAATTTGTGCTTATTTTTCAAAATTTAGCTTAAACTTCATTAATGCTTAGAGATTCTCCCAGCTGGTACTCATCACAAACCACTGTCATCCTGTACTGCTTGTCCCCTCACCAGGGTCAGGGGGTGGCTTCTTCGTCTCCCGAAGTACACAAAGCACCTCTTTAATGCAACTTTTTCACAATCACAAGTCACTGTATGGTTTCTCTCGATACTAGACTCAAGTTCTCTTGGAGTACACATGTTGGAGTATGATCATCAGTATTTTCTCTGAGCCTAGGAAAACAGTTAGTGTTCAAAACATACAGGTGGATATACATACGTGTGTATGTATCCAGCATAGAGAACAGTCGGGTTGTACTTAAGAAAGATGTCAGAAAAGTAGGAAATTATTGGATGAGTTACTGACTATTCAAAGTCATTATGAAATCTGGGACTACATGTGGTACAGCAGTAAAACATGACACTATGAGGCAATCCTCTGTGAGAAGATTCCCAGTTCAAGTCCGAAGACCTCCCTGAGTACACCAAACACAAGCTTGCCCATGATCTTGGCTGGCTGAAGGCCGGGGTGGATCACAGTATCAGGACCCTGTTGAGGGTATGTGTTCTCTTTCTTTTTCACTCATGGAAGTCAGAAACAAACTCAAAAGTTCATGAACTCATCAATATAAATTTTGTCAGATTTTAGCTTTGTGGTCATAATTATCTTTTCTCTCATGGCATAGAAATGCCAACTGCTTCATTAAGATAAAATAAATACCTAGCACTATCACATTCATGTCATCTGTACCCCTCCCACACTGCCTAATATTCCAGTGATAACACACCTATTGAATTAACCTATACACTAATGTCATCATCATATGACCATGGAAAATCAAAGGGAATATAGTTTTTGAGAAGTAAATTATTAATTATTATAAACCCCAGAATGTGCAAACAAAATGAGAATTTTGGACACTTTTCCCACTTTTTAACTCAAATATATAGCTCTAAGAAACTAGGCAGTTTACTTAATATTTAAAGGTCATTAAATATGCTTTACTTTTACACTACAACAGCAAAGTTGAGTTTTGGAGGCAGAGATCTCTGTGTCACAAAGTCTAAAATATTTAACTAGCTCCTGCTATAGAACAACCTGATTGATGAGGGCAACTCATTTCGAATAACGTACAACATAACATCACTGTATTTAATTAAAATCTATTCTGGGGACCAGCGGTTGGCATAATGGCTCTGTTGCTGGACTCCCATGTAGTCGACCATGGTTCGAGTCCTGGACCTGGTGGCTTAAACTCACACTGGGCACGTGTGCGTGCATGTCCAAGATGGTGAGAGGAGAATGGAGGAGAAGGGATTGCGGCATGGCCATCCCCCTCCCCCACCCCCCAGGAGTGATTTCTCGCTTTCTTTCTGTCTCTCTCTGTCTTTCTGGCGAGCGCACACGCCCTATAGCAAAAA